ATTTGTATCATGTCGTGTGATTATATCATGATCTAATTTTATACCCAGCTTATGTGCACGCTACTCAAAAACGAACCTGTGCCATTATTTTTCAAAATACAGTATAATAATATAGCGTATAAAGGCTGCAGTATAAGCCAGTAACCGTTAATATTGCCGTAAAAAGGTAAAATTATCCCCTAAATAATCATGAATAATTGAGCCGTTGCGAGCAACTTGACTGTTAGACAGATACGTGTTACGTGATTAACAGATCCGTCGCCGGGGAATCCGAGTCGGAAATAAGCTGACCCTTTTCTGATACGATGAATGACAGGCTATGAATTCTCTGTTAGAAGCAGTACGCTTTGATATTTTATTGCTAACTGATCTGTTGTGACTTTGTTCTTTTCAGTGACACCAGAAATAGCAGCTGCTTGATGGGAATTCACTGGGAAGTTTAAATAAAGGCGCCCAAATTAGGCGGCTCCCGCTTTGATAATGAATTACTGCTGCAGTATACGTATACTCATGATCGAATGCTGTTGGCACGAATAGCGATGTTTGTCTCCCTGATAGTTATTACAGTATGATAACAGTCTTCAGGAGAAACATGGGGGGGGGGGGGGGGTTTAGGAAGGGGGTGGGGTGTATCCATGACGAACTGTTTCAGCCGTTTGCTTTATGTTTTGAAGGTTGTGGGTTAAATTTGGGACTCTGCTGCTCGGTTCTTTGTTGCAGGTGTTGTGATGATCAGTAAAACAAGCAGTGGGGAGAAGGGAGGGGGGAGGGGGTTGTTGGAGCTGTGAAGATCTTGCTTCGTGTAACTATGTCGCGGAGAGAGACTTAGCCGTCATCATCATCATCATCCTCATCGTGTCCTTTGATCAAGGTCGCTGTCATCGCGGTCTGCCTAAAAGAAACTCGGTCTTTTGCCAGTCTCTCCTCCTCCGCCCCTCACCCCCCGTTAACTCCTTTTTTGCACTTTCCTACTCATGGGGTCACTTATATCATGTGACCATCCTCATGCTGGTCGGCCCCTGCTCCTCTTTACTGGTCTCCTGCTTTTTATTGTTTCAAATCTGCCGTGGTGCCTGGCGTGGCCAACAGTATTTCAGCTTCCGAAGCAAAATGCTGTTTACTAGCTGATCTTCCTTGATGTTCTGATCATTTTTAGGATACCATTATTTCTTGTCTTTTTAGTCTTTGGTATTTTGAGAATATGTCTGTGGCATTTCAACTCAAAAGCCCTATTTTCTCTGTTTTCTTCCTTAATGACTGCGAGATAGTCATCAATTCACATCCGTATGTTGCTACATGTTAAGGAACAGTTCTCAGTTACGGTCTCTAATAAGTACCAGGCGTTGCAGCAGTTAGCTGAAGATGTCAGCACAGAAGTCTGCTGGGATCAGATCAAAGGAATCTGGAATGAATCTTGCATAGAAGTTCTTGGCAAGAAAGAAAGGAAACATAAAGCATGGATAACACCAGAAACCATTAAACTGATTGAAGATAGGAAAAGTAAAAAGGCAGACTTAAACAATAGCAAAACTAGAGCTGCTAAAGCTAGAGCTCAGGAGAAATACACACAAGCCAACAAGGAAGTTAGGAGGCTAATAAGGCATATAAACAGATCCTCTACTGACCAGATAGCCACATTACATATTATAATAGAGCAAAGCATTGAACTAAACTCACCACTTTACATTGGATTTATAGACTATGAAAAAGCATTTGACAGCATTGATAAGGAATCTCTCTGGAAATTGATGGGGCACTATGGAATCCCACAAAAAATTATCAAGTTAGTGAAGGCAACATATAAAGACATGAAATGTCAAGTTCTTCATGAGGGAAAGCTAACAGATGCATTTGAAATAAAATCAGGTGTACGACACGGATGTCTTTTGTCGCCTCTCTTATTTTTACTGGCTAAAGACTGGACTATGAAAACAGTAACTGCTAACATCAAGAATGGAATTCAGTGGACCCCTACAAAACAGCTTGATGATCTGGACTTCGCTGATGATATTGCTTTTCTGTCCCATTCACGGAATCAGATACAGGATAAATTTAATATACTTGATGCGAGATCACAGCAGCTTGGTCTGAAAATTCATAAAGGAAAGACAAAGATAATGAGAATAAATCAGGCAAATAGTAGTGTGGTTTCTCTTAATGGCACCCCACTCCAAGACGTGAAGTCATACACCTATTTAGGCAGTAATGTAGATAAAGATGAAGGAACTGATAGAGATATTAAAATAAGAATACAAAAGGCAAGAGGATCTTTCATAGCACTAGGGATTTGTGGAGGTCAAAAGAAATCAAAAGAAATACTAAACTAAAAATGTTTAATTCTAATGTCAAATCAGTACTATTGTATGGGGCCGAAACATGGAGAACAACCAAGGCAATTACTAATAAATTACAGACATTCATTAACTGGTGCCTGCGCAGAATAGAGGGAATTAAATGGTATGATAGAATAACTAATGTAGAACTTTGGGAGAGAACTAAACAGGCTCCAGTGGACCAAGAGGTGAGGAAAAGACGCTGGCGTTGGATAGGGCACACACTGAGAAAACAGGAGAACAGCATAACTAGATTGGAACCCACAGGGGCATAGGAATATAGGAAGGCCAAAAAACACATGGAAAGTGGGAGCTGGAGAATGAAGTTAGAAAGATGGGGAGGACATGGGGAGAGCTCCATGTAATGGCGAAGGATAGAACGACTTGGCGTGAGTTGGTTGAGGGCCTATGCTCCATTGAGGGATAGAAAGGCAGAAGAAGAAGAAGAAGATGTTGCTACACGACGGCCCTTTTGCTTTTTCTGTTGAGCTTCTTAGTCGTTGTGTAGAAAATTAATTTCTGTTTGTTGACAGTCAGTTGAATATCCCAACTGTTACACTTGTTGTTTAACTGTCAATTACTGCATTTGTTCTACCACTTGTGTGGTGTAGGCAGGGGGTCCTTGAGAATTTAAGGCCACATGGCTAGTGCTGTCACCATGACTGTGCAGTTGAGAATTTTTTGTGTGCCCCTGACAGATAAAATCCCCAGCCTTACCGAGGATTCAAACCAGGGTCTTCCGCTTGAAAGCCCAGAGTTTAATTTTTCCCTTGTCTATCAGGCTTGTGTTCTCAGCACTCTGCTTTATGGCAGTGAAACTTGGTCAACCTATTTGCACCAGGAAAAACGGCTTAATAGCTTTTACATGCGATGCCTAAGAAGAATACTTGGCATTAAGTGGCAGGACAAAATCGCAAACACTGAGGTACTGGAAAGAGCAGGTACTGCAACAGTCTTTTCTATGCTCAGTCTATGTAGGCTTAGGTGGCTGGGTCACACCTGGAGAATGGAGGATGGCAGAGTCCCTAAGGACATCCTTTATGGTGAATTACAGACAGGCAGAAGATGTCGAGGCGGATCTCTACTACCATATAAAGATGTGTGCAAGTGGGACATGAATAATACAGGTATTGAGGTGAACCCATGGGAACAAAATGCCATGGACCGTGTTGTGTGGAAAGGGCATATCATGAAGGGAATGCGACTGAAGGAAGAGATGATTGCAGAAAGGATGAGAGCTGAGCGTCTGAAAAGAAACAGATTAAACACATATGTTGCTAACAGTGGTCCTGAAATCCCATGCTATCATTGTGGAAGACTTTTCGGCAGGTCTTGCTAGTCACACTCGCCATCGCCATGGGCTGTGAGTCTCATGCCTCCTCATAGCGCAATATAACACTATCGTCTGGAAAGACGAAAAGGTGCCAATGTTTAATAGTGTTATGTAATGAAGAAAAAAGCCTGAATTTCAAATTGAATATGTTAGCATATATTATGTTATCACAATCGACGTCACTGCATATTGTGAATTCCCATGCATGCTCAGTCCTCAGAGGTACTTCTACTAATTGTTCTGATGAGAAGCTGGTTATGTCGTCTCCTATATCTGCCTCAAGGACAGCATAGACATGCTTCACCATGCTTACTTCCATATCACGCAATTGTGTTAGTGTCATGGATTCCTCATTATCCGCTAGCCCAGTTCATACAGTGTTGACAAAATCTGCTCTGTCCTTGCTTCTTCCCACATGTGTTGGTGCATTGCTTGCCAGTTGGTCTGCTTGCTTATGGCTGTAAGAACAATTATTGTGTGAAGTATGATTGGTTAAAAGGTCCATTAGCGTTGCTGGTTAAACCTGACTTTGCAGTGACCGGATGACAAACTCCTTGTGGTCTGGTTTCACGCCCGGGAGTAGGCAGAAAAGCCATATGTCTCACCGATTTACAGTACCTATCATGGAATCAAGGCCAAAGGGTTGCTATATCCATAGTACCGAGCCAAAGGATTAACAACTCATGGTTTCTGGATACTAAAAAAAAAAAAGGTCTAAATGTTAAAGTGTGCTCCTTTTTTGACCCTTTGAACATAAGTATGTTCTTTTTCATTCATCATCATCATAAATTTTTCTTAAATATTGAAACTGCTACCCAGAAAAGTAAATGGATCATCTAAATTAATTCCTTTTGTTATTAATGTCTTTACTATATTTGTGTTTTTATAATTTATTGGAAGTCCAGCTCTTAATGCTACATTTGCCCTAATCATCTTTCTATTGTATGCCATTTTTGTTTTTACTTAGCACAACAATGTCACCAGCAAAATGGAGATCCTCAACTGTATGTTCACCACCCAGTCAGTGCCAGTGTTTCCAAGACATTTGTTTCCACCACTTAGTCAGTGGTTATGCTAAATAACAGAGGAGATTAAAATGCATTCCTGTTTCACATCAGTTTTCAACTTCAGACAAACCGATTAAATCATCATCTGTTCATTAATTAATTCATTCATTCGTAATCACACAGAAAATATGATTACATATAAATCAGGACAATGTGAAGAAAATGTATAGTAGCTTGTACTGCTGTCTGGGCTTTAAAATAGTCATTACTTGAAAATACTGATGGTTTGCTAAGAGTTAATGCTAACCTACCATATATTTTGCTCAGGTAATCAACCTAATGGACTGCTTCACCCCAACAGTCACGCTGGATGATTTCAGTGATGTGTAAGTAAATATTTTCCCTCTCTGAAATTGTGTTTCCTGATGCAGGTCCTTCATCGTCATCACCATCATCATAAACCACTTCTGCCATTAAGTGTAGTGGGCAGGAATAATGTTGCGATCAAATGCACATTCCCTGTAATGAATTTCCAACACTGTGGCTGTAGACCCTCAGAGACTCAGATCTCTTGATTGATAATCCTAGCCTGCAGTTTGTGGTGACTACTCTACTGGCCATGTGGCCTTAAATGTTCAGGTTCAAGACCCTCCTGTTCAACACTGTCCTAGAAGATGGTAAATTCAAGCAAGAAAGACAGTTTCTTTTAAACGTAGTATTGTGGTCAGTCAGAGTAGTCTGATAATAAAAAACAGTATGTCACTTTCATGGGTTCTAAGCATCAAGTTAGTCACTAGTTGGGTTCTTAATTTTTAAATGTACCCCAAACACGAAATCCCCGTGGGAAATCCACAGCTGACCTGACAGTCCATTATTTCAAGGGGTGGAAGTGTGCTGTTGTGTGGGTTTTTTTTTTGGAGTGTTCATCTAGTGTCTTCTAATGCTAACCCTAACCCTAAACTTGGCTGTAGATAGATCGTGAGAAACTACAACCTGAACACCCTAGAATTTATTGGGAATGTCTCCCGTGACGTTGTCGTGACGTCAGGGGTAAGTTATAAATTAAGTACCACTAGTTGTTCCTTTGTGATTTCAGGGGCCCCAGTATGTGTGTGGGGGTGGGGGGGGGGGAAGGAGGCAATAGACTCACTGCCTCCCTATGAAGCATGTTGTACAAGGTGATTCTTTGGAGTTTGCTGAAATTGGAAGTGTTGTATTGCAGCCTATTGGGAAACCACACCACACAAAGTGTCAGCTGCCCTTTTCAAGTTAGATACAGAGAAGAAGAAGAAGAAGTATTGTAATAATCAAAGAAGTTATATGGTGAAAATGATAAGTAACTTCCATTGTGAATCACAGTTTGTCAGTCTCTGTGTACTGGGAATTTATTTAGATCTCTAAAGGATCACTTTAACTGCACACTTGCTGCATAAATAACACAAGATTTTCTGGATGGGGTACAACTTCAGAATAGCACTGAGGATGTGGCAAATTTCTAATAGGATGCTAGTGTTCTCTTGAGTTTTAAACTTTAGAAGTATCTTTGGTTCTTGCCTGTTTTTGGGATATTTAGTTTCATCTCCATCATGATATGGTTATTTAGAAACCTCATTTTAATATGAGAATATTGTTTTCTTTATTGCTTTAGTATTGGGCAGGAGCTGCAGAGTTCTTGCTCTGTAGCCGCCTTCTTGGCATGCAGTTAGCCTTTCTGTAGAAAGATAGGGGCCCTTATGGGATAAAACTCTACAGTGAAAACAGTCCTCTCAACCTTAACCCTTTCACTATAAGAAGGGTAAATCTATCCAACTCCATTTGTGACACAGCCCCTAAACTGCTGATATATGACCATTTCTACAGTGACATATGTTCAAAAAGTGTAATTAAATGTTATTGGCTCTGTTGCCACTGCTTAGTTTGTAGGAGATCCAGATGTGCATATATTAGCAAAGTATATCATGGGGGAGGATTTCCTTGTGACCCCATTGGCCTTTTTAAAGCCAGTTTGGCTAAAAATGTTCCCATAAGCCTCAGTGATAGAGATAGGCAGTATTACAGCCTGAGTCACCCGATACATACAAGGTGCGTTTTAAAGTAAGTCCCGTTTTGACTGCAGCGACAAACACCGATAGAAAACTTAAATGTGCATGTGCAGTATATTTATGTGGTTCATTAGCTAGTTGTGTGCTATTTTCTCACTTTCAAAGTCTTGTTTGATGCTGTGTGTTAAAGATTATAATGAGTGCAAAAATAAATACTCCCAACCAGCTGTGAGGTTCATGCTGTGATCCGTTTTTTGTTAGCAAAAAACAGTGCTGCAGAAATTCACATTGAGGTTTATGGGTCAATTGTTATGACTGATAGTATGGTAAAGAAATGGTGTCGAATGTTTAAAGAAGGGTGAACTAATATCCCTGATGAAGATCGTAGCGTCGGCGAAGTATGGTGACAGATGATTTGGTTGAAAAAGTGAACACAAAATTCATGAAAATCGTTGTTTCACAATTTTGGAAGTTTCACTTTCACTGATTTATGACATTGTGACATGAAACTTTGAATACAACAAATTGTGTGCCATCCAAAACAAGATGCGGGTTGGCACCCTCTGGAATTGTGCTTTTGCATGATAATGCTTGTCGTGTTGTCACAGATGGAACTGTTCAATTGTTTGCAAAGATTTCACTTGGAAATTGTTGACCACCCGCCCTACAGCCCTGATCTGGCGCCAAGTGATTACCACCTTTTCATGCACATTAAAAAAGTGGCTAGCATTCCAGCGGTTTCAAGCTGGTGATGGACTGCAGATAGAATGGTTTAAGACACTGGCGGCGGCAGACTTCTGTGGAATTAAAAACCCGGGGCCATGATAATAAAAATGTGTCGAAGTCAGTGGTGACTATAGTGAGAAATAATGTAATAGTGTGGTTCACATTTAGCTACAATAAATAATGTTTATATTTGATTTGTTTATTTTATTTATTTTATACAGGACTTACTTAAAAACCGCACCTCGTACTTTTTTGTGTGTGAGGTCCTGGCTACTGCATTCCGTTTAATGCTTCACTCTGTTATTGTTTACTTCCTTTATATGTCTGTATATATTTCAAAACCAAAATTTAAAAAAATGCAGATAAATAAATTTTCAAACATTTATTAATTGCATGTTAAAAATGTTTTTTTTCAAAACATTTTCCCCCAGAACATTTTAGTGGGCGGGCCCATGACCCCCTTTTTTTTAAAAGCATTCACAGGATGAAAGGATCAAACGCCATAAATATGGTATATAATCATCTGCAGGTATATGGTGACTCCTTTGATGGGCGCGGACCTCAACAATATACTCAAGACACAGAGACTCAGTGACGACCATGTACAGTTTCTTGTTTATCAAATTCTCAGAGCTCTCAAGGTGAATGTTCTATTGTTCATCATTATTATCATCGTAAACCTTATCATTTGCTGTTGAATCTTTGGGAAGGATCAGTTTTCAGTCCAAAGTTTGAGGTTAGCCTCACTGCCCATTGTGTAATACCTTCCCTGTCATCTGTCCATCTTCTTGTTGGACATGTTCTCACTCTCCTACGGATGATCGTTTTATACGACCAACAAACCAGTAGCAAATTTATTTGTCCAGTCTTATTTGATATGATCTGAGCATTGAGGAGAGTTGGGTCATAAACAGCATCCTGTTCCGAAAGGTATTCCAGTTTAATTGTAAACTGCAATACATAAGGCGTGCAGCTCTTTGAAAGGTGAAAACAGAAAAAGAAGAAAAAAGAAATTGCTTCTTTTTATAAATTAGTAACTAAACCAGTCTTGAAAGTCCCTGAGATAGGGTGAAATAAAACAAAAGAACCCATATTTTGACAGTCTGAGACGGAATTAGTTGAATACATTTTGCTGCAATTAATAATCCTTAATTTTATTTTTATTTTCTATTGTTTTATGTTACTGCAAATAATCATTCATTATATCATTTTCTAATTTTTAGCAAGTTAGTGCAGTTGTAATCCATCACTCTAATTTGACTTTCCTCATTTAATAAGATGCACTAGAGTTAACATTAGGTCTTTATTTTTTCATGTTTAAATAAGTGGTTGTGATTAATAATCCTTCATTTGATCCTTTTTCCTTTATTATTTAATACGTTACCGCAATGATTGCGGCATCCGTGGCTTAGCTGTTCCGAGTTGGACTCGTAACTCCGAAGTACGATGATCGAAAGCCACTGCTAACTGCATGGATTTTTATCTTGGTATGCGGCGTCACAGGTTGACCTAGCCTAAAATGGGTAACAGGATGTATGTCCTAAAAAGGTAAAGATGGCCAGCGTAATGCTGACCACATTACCCACCTAATGCCGATTAGACTAAAAAATACGGGTGCCCTTCCGAAATGCCCGATGCGCCAAAAACTGTGAAAAGGGATCTTTACTTACTTTGCTGCAGTTATTAGTCTTTCATTCTTTTCCTCCTCATTTGTTAGTAAATCACTGCAAATAACAACATTCTACATTTTTCTCAGTTTTTAATAATTAACTGCAATTGATAATCTTTCATTGTATCTTTATAGTTAAAATTTTTAAATATTTCACCCATTATTAATAAGTGTGTGCAATTAAAAAACTGTTTATTCAATCTTTACTTTTTCATTTTGTAAATAAGTTAGCTGCAATTAATATTCTTCATTCTGTTTTTCTCCCCAGTACATCCATTCAGCAGGAATTTTACATAGAGTGAGTAAATGTGTTATTTCTTCTATATTTAATTCCATAGAATACCATTTATATTTTGTATGCCTGTTAGTACTGATATAACTATGCTACCATTTCAAACATTTATCATGCCCTGATGCACTCAAGAAAAATACTTGTCTACCGTCTATCTCACCCTATCGTCGCCTATCCGTAAAGCGCAACCCAATCCTAACACATTCAGTCATTACCACTAAATACACGCAGTCTAGATGCCAAAATAAGACACTACTCACAAAACACACAATCTAAATCAAACAAGACTCGATATCACTAAAGAGTTTTTAAGAGTTGATTGCGCATACGATACCACTAATTAAGGGAACCACCCCACCAACACAGTGAAATCAACTCAGTAGCCATTTCATGAATTAAGAGACAAGCCGAAATATGTCTGCAGTATGACCATGAACGCAATTACCACAAAAACCATCAGAAATCTACAATTTGTCACTATTAACCTAGTCAAACAACACTGTTAATATTCTATTAACACTCTATCTCTATCAGCTACTGTTTGGGTTCAAATCCACAGAACAACTTCCATTATGTATCAACATTTTGGTTTAAATCTCAACAGATGTAGCCTTCCATTTATCTGTCGAGGACCTTGTATCTATCCTACTTAACTACGGCTTGTTATACACCCCAGTGACAGACCCACTATCCTAGAACACACTTAAAATACACACCTACGGAGTATACACATCATGTACAAAGAGCAATTCAACCTAAAGCAAGCCTCAACAGTTATGGACAGTCCCTAATCCAAAATGAGACATTCCCATGGATGTACCAAAGAACTCGATTCCACCTCACTGTCGTACAGCGCTAACTAGGCTGCCATCCTCGCCACGCGAGACTCAGTAGCACACGCAGGGTGAGTGATCCAAATATGAGCAGGCAGTTTTAACGCCACCACCAAGCACAGAAAACTCTAATATCGCATAGGCATAAACAACTACCTACACATGACACAACACTAAAACAACTGTCCTTAAAAAACTATATATCACACGAGAAATACTAACAGCTAACAAAAACACATTACGACAACGCTAACAGTCCCTGTCTTTCAACTCCTAACACAATACAATCTATAATGTCTCTCTATGTTCTCAGCCTCACATGTCCATGTCCAACGCTCTTCTCCTCTCCCCGTTCAGCTTTGGGTAAAACGTGTATGTAGTCCCAGTGTTCAAGCCATCTCAGGTTTTTCCCATATTGTGAATTCAGCTGGCTGACTGCTGGTGTACCTTTTGGTCTGTCAAACACAAAGATAGGACCTCACAAGTCTTATCATCTATACTCTGTCCCTTACCCTTCCCACAGGGCTATGACAGACCCTTACTGCAGCTAATGAGCACAAAATCAAAGTAGCAGAGTTGAAGTGTCTTAGAAGAGCTGCCAAAGTAACAAGGAAAAATTAAAATGAAGACGTTAGAAGACTAGAATTGAAACATGCTGTTTCCTGTAGCAGTATTGATATTTATTTCTGACTTTGCAGTTGGCAGTCTTCATTGTTTTAGGCTTATAAGTAGCTTCATTTTATCAGGAGGGATATATTTTCCTTGTTGAGGATTTTTCTTTTGTTTGATAAGCATTTATATGTTTGTATGAAAAAAATAGTTAAAGTTTTGGAATCATTAGGAATGCAAATAGAGCGTTTCCTTTTTGGGTGATAAATAAAATCTGTGGATGAAGGATGTAGAAATAATAATTTGAGAATCTTCACTGAAAAGAGAGAACTAGTGTTAATAAGAAGAAAGAAGCCAACTCTGTACATATCTGTAGAGAGCAAAGGCATTTAACAGGCATCATGAGTTTAAATATCTGAGAACAGCATTAAATAAAGATGGAAAATTGGATGAAGAATTTGAAATCAAATACAATACAGCAAACCAAATGTTTGGACAGCTAGTTGACCTCCTCCCCCCCCCCTCTCCCCCACACACACACACACCCCCAAGCACTTTCTTACAGTATAGGACAATCTCGATCAGCACAGAGAAACAGCTCATACAAAGCAAAACCATTCTTACTCTATGCTACTAGTGCCAGACATTGTCGCTCACAACAAATCATAAAAGAAAATTAGTAACCATGGAAATGAGATGTCGGAGAAGGTCTGCAGGAGTGATCAGACAAGATAAAATCATAAATATGGTTGTAAAAAAAAAGTAGACACAGAAATACTCCTAAATTACATACAAAGAAAGCAAATAAAATAGTTTACCCACTTAGAGAGGCCTTGTGTCACCAAACCATACAAGACAAATGTCAAAAGAGGAGATGGACGTAGAGCAAGTTAGAAAGAAAACAGAAAAACTATACAACATAATATGTCACTAGTCTAGGCGGCCAGAAGAGAGACTGACTTTCTACCCCACCAGGACATCACACTAAGTGATAAACACTCGCTGACACAAAGTGCCACCATTCGGTTGAGGATCACCCGTGGAGAGGTCCCAGAAACCACGTTAGGTTATATTGGGGCCCCCGGCAACAACCAGGGGGTGTTTAAAAAAAAAAAATGTGTCCCACATGAAGACAGGGATTATTTAATCAGAAGAGCAATAAGTAAAACCTTGTATTTCCCTCGACAACCATAGCAGTAAGTTATTTTTCTCTTATTGAATAAGCACATTTATATTTTGTTAATCAATTTTCTTTCTAATTGGTAAGTGTTGCTTCTGTTAGTCAAGTATACTTCACTATTTGTATGTCAAGAAAAATGAAAACATGCTTTTAGTAAATTGTTTTCCCTTTTTTTGAATTTCAGGACTTAAAACCTAGTAATATTGCTGTGAATGAAGACTGTGAATTGAAGGTGTGTTTTTATTCCAGTTACCTACTTCAGATATTGCCTGGTGATCTTGTTACAAAATTAAAACACACACACATGCACACACACACATATATGTATGCACACACAGATCATCTTTATCAAGTTCCATGCTGAGTGGCGTGAATGATCATGCCTCTCCACTACCTGTGATCTGCAAATTCATGTACCAGTTCATTTGCTGACATTTCTTCATGCCATGACAAAAGAATCTTCTTGCATTATCTGCCTCTTGTCTCTCTTGCCCCATATATTTCCTCTAGTCACAACATATTCCAGCGTCCTTCTCATTACATAACAAAAAGATGATGACACTATCTTATTTCTGATGTTTTTTGATAAGTTGTATTTGAGGCCTTGCCTCTTCCAAAACATCTGGATTGCTCTTTTTGGCTATCCAAGGAATTCTACAGATGAACACACACTCAATAAAATATGAGATACATTTTAAGACACTAGTTTAAATTCAGGAATGATTATTAAGTGTTACTGTAGGGCCATATCATAACAAGATATCAATTCTGAGCATATTGTGATATCTAGCAAAATGTATGTAAAGAGAGATCGAGAAAGACAACTAGAGACGATTCTTGACCACCTGATAGCCTATTATCATGGTAAGGTAAGGTGTCATAACATGTACTGATACATGCTATTGGGATAGTAAAATGCAGAGAAGCATGATTGCCAGACAACATCCGATAATCTCTGACTGATAGAGCACTGGAAGGAAACAAAGCCAGAACGAAAACTGCTGATAGAGAAGTTTGGTGATCTTTCTGAGAAACCTCTACACTTCAAGGTAGAAGAGGAAAAAGTATTATGCGGAAGCTATCACTTCTCTTTGGTTGCTCTAGTATATGGCACCAACAGATCTTTAATTAGTCACCTTTGACAACATGTTTGTAAGGTAACTATGCAATGGATACCATTCCACTGTAGAGTTCCCAGAAATGAAGAACAACCTGACGTAACAGTCTCTTATCAGTGGAAGAAGAGAATAATCAAATCAATCAGAAAGCCACCAAAATCGGCAAAAGATGATTACCATATAATGGACAGACCAGAGCAAGTCATTATTCTATTTCTTAGAACAGGACACATTCGACTTTGCAGCAACATGTACACAAAATTTGAGACTGGCGAATCAGCCATGTATACATGTGGATTGGCACCTGAGTCAACAGTTCACGTCTTCCAAGTCCGTTCCAAATACAGCATATCAAGGAAAAACTGTTGGCCAAGAGAAACACCAGTACAAGCCAAACTTTACAGGTCACTGAGTGAATTACAACAGACAGTGAAGTTCATACTAGGTACAACATTGCAGATATAGGTAATTTCTTTCAAGCGGACGAAAGAAATGGAAGAAGATAAAAGAAGATCGACTAAGTTAAAAAGTCATTCCTTCTCTTTTGTAGCTCTAGTGTATGGCATATTCTTGTACCAGCAAACCCTAATTAGTCAGCTTTTACAACATGTTTGTTAAGTAAGGGCCAGTTGATCTGTTATTTCTTTCTCTCAGAATGGAGCCATGGAAACCATATTTCTCATTGAATATGTCTTTTATTAAGCTAAGCCTGTATTAAACATGTAGATATATGTATTTAAAACCTGAAGTTGACCCTTGCAACAGATCCTGGACTTTGGGCTTGCACGGCACACAGATGAAGAGATGACCGGTTATGTGGCAACCAGGTGGTACAGGGCCCCAGAGATCATGCTTAACTGGATGCATTACAACCAGACAGGCAAGTTGTGATGTCTTTTTTGCCTTTGTGTTCTTATGTTGGGTATGTTCATTCTTTTGTGCCTGCTGTAAGTTAGCACCTTTCTGTTTTAAGACAGTAGTGTTACGGTGGAGCTTTTAAGCTGAATTTCTGTTTTTAAAAAAAAGATTCTCAGAATATCATGGATAAAAAAGAAATGAAATACTGACATCCGAAAAGATCTTAACATTATCAAGGAAGATTGGCTAGTAAACAGCATCTTGTCTTAGAAACAAATATATTATGGCCACATCAAGCGTCACAGCAAATTGAAAAAAAAATTAGAATAGCAGAACATATGGTACCAGAAAAGAGGGACTGAGGCCAACCAGCACGAAGATCGATACAATATAAGTGACACCTTAGGTAGAAAAGTTCATGAGGTGGGAGAGCTGGTGTGAGACCGAGTTTCTTTCAGGCACTCAGTGATGAGCGTGATGTTCTACAAAGGGCTTGCTACATAATGATCAGTATTATTACATTTGTGCTCTAGCAAGCCATTGGAATCATAGCATATAGCAAGTGTTACTAGCAAGAGCAGCCAGCACTTCTTACAGTTCTTCCATGTAAAACATTTTAAAGGATTCTTTTGACACCAGTAGCGTGTCAAGCATAAGGAGCTAGACCTGTATTTTTTTTTTATAGACCAGTCATCAGTAGATCTGTGGTGTGGTTAACATTTCACTGGTCACCTTTTACTTCCCAGATTATTTCCTGACACCAATTTTACACTGTAACATTCTAAGAGTCACAGTCTTTTTGTTCATAATCATGTTTTGTCCCCAGTCTTCTGTCTCACATTTTTCAGGATACAAATGTTTTTGTATGCTATGATGACACTTGTATGCTATGATGACAAACTGCCCACTGTCTTCTCATTTAGTTTCTTCCTGAATCTCTTTCCCTTTAACTTTCCTATTGTCTGAAGCAGGTAATCAGTTCAGTTTGTGAATTATCTTATTTCCAGATATCTTCATTATGCCAGTTATCTGTCCTTAGTGTACTTTTCATTTTTCCATAAAAACCACAGCTCCACAGATGTTTGCTAACTGTTTTACTAATTTTTTTACTAATTATTTTACTAACTGTTTTACTAATTGTCCACAAGAATAGTAACACTGCACCCAACCATGCATGTCATAAAAGGTGAGTGAGGGAAAGATTGGATTTGGGGTTGGCTACCTTTTCCCCTTTAATAAAACAAATGAAATTACAGCAACATAAACCAGCCATCCATGGAAAAGTCTTAAGACAGTTACAAGTAATATCAAGCCAGTAGCCAGCCAGCCAAGATTGGGTGGGAGCCTGTACCAATACAAGAATCAGGACACAGTGTGGAGAAAGCTGAAATGAGTCCAGACCACTGACATACCCCCTTCTATCTAGAAAAGTCTCCAGAATTGGCACCTGGCATGTTGAAACTTTGTACGATATCGGAAGGGCAGTAGAGGTAGTAAGAGAAATTGGTTGATGGAATGAAATTATAATAATAATATTTTCAAATTAAATTTTAAAAAAAAAAATGTTTCTTTTTTTTCTGCAGTGGATATTTGGTCTGTTGGTTGTATAATGGCAGAAATGATGGTTGGACGACCCCTCTTTCCTGGCACAGATCGTATCTTTTTTTAAAATTTGGTGCTTCAGGATTTATTCATGTAACAAGCAGTGCCTCAGGTTTTATTTATTTAACATGCAGTGCCTCAGGTTTCAATCATGTATCAAGGTTACCCTGCAGGACAGTGCCTCAGGTTTCATTCATATAACAAGTTTACCACAGGAAAGGGCCCCAAGATCGTTATGTAACAATTGGACAGTGCCTCAGCCTTCGTTCATGTAACAAGCTTACCGCAAGACAGTACCTCAGGACAGTGCCTGAGTTTATATATATATATATGTAAAAAGGTTACTACCAGACTGTGCCTCAGAAGGTTACCACAGGACAGTACCTGATATTATATATATATATATATATATATATATATATATATATATATATATATATATATATATATATATATATATATATATATATATGCGTGCGTGCATGCGCGCGCGCAAAAGTTACTACCATACAGTGCCTGAGGTTTCATTCATGTAACAAAATTGCCACAGGACGGTGCCTGAGATTTTATATATATGTAACAATGTTACTACCAGACAGTGCCTCAGAAGGTTACTAAAGGACAGGGCCTCAGGTTTTGTGTATATGTAACAATGTTACTACCAGACTGTGCCTCAGAAGGTTACTACAGGACAGTACCTGACATTTTATATATATGTAACATATATGTTTGCCATGAAAAAGGGAGCTATCACATTGTGTTGTTGTTTACAAGAAAAGCGGTGATATATGATTGTTGGTTCACCACATCTGACTTCAGCAAACCTCTAATTGGTCATCTTCTACAACATACTTATTAGTGGAGCAGTGTGTCTACCTTTTTCTTACCTTAATTGAGGCAGAGAACCCATGAAGAGAAGCATCTTGGAATTGACTTCAGTTTACATTGCAAAGAAAGTATTTTTGAGTGTTAATTTAATTACACAGAGTATAGTTAGAAGGTTTTTTTTTCAGTATACACTAAAAAATAAATTTCATTAAGACATTAGGTTGATATAATTGTTTGTTTGGTCTGATGTTCCTTATACGTATTACAGATATTGATCAACTCACCAGAATTTTGTCACTTGTAGGTACTCCTAGTGATGAGTTGATGCAGGAGATTAAGAGTAATGATGTAAGAATATAATTTATGATTTGTTGTTTGTAGTAGACTCCCCTCTTGGGAGGGGGAAAGGGTGGTTTTGGGGGGAAAGGGGTCCATGTTTATTTTCTGTGCAGTAGAGTAAATGTCTTATATAGTCTGTCTAGATAGTATTGTTTGTTTTCATGCCTCATATACAGTAAATCCCTGTCATTTGAGGCTAGAAGAAAGAGTTCTTGCGTGTTTTATAGGACTAGTTTTGACATATGGCTCAGAATTCTTGACATTTAGTAAGTAAGAAATGTTGGCATCATTCCATTTGTCCAGAGGATAGTATTCCCTTAACCTGTAGGGAGGCATGGAATGTTGAATTAAGAATCGACATCACGGCACTTAGGACCCCCCTCATAAGCATTGTGTCCCCAACTTTAGCAGCAAGCGAAGATTTCCGATTCTGATAGTACCAGTAACTGTCTGATTGTATATCCATCTCCCATTTTCCCTGAGTTTGAAGCCGTTGGTCAGATCCCCTGGCAGCTCTCCACAGCGCCATTTTCCTCAGACCGTAATGATCCATCTGTGCCTCCGCGCTGTTCACTCGCTGCCAAAGTGCTCTAACAACATCTAGCTTGTGAAACATCAATTTCCACCAAGTAGTGCAGAACCGGCTAGTCTATTAGAGAGGCATGGGAATCTCAGCTTATGGCTGTGATGAGTGTGACTCCATGAGCAGCCTACGCTAAGAAGAAATCATTATTGTCAACGCTTTAGCCATTCTCTCTTTTCTCTTGTTGTCACCGCTCACTTGCGTGATAATTTTCACGCACGACAGTTCAGCAGTATGGAAACTGCAGTGTTTTTTTTATTCCTACGCTCCTTGTCTGTGGCTTCTTTTTTGTGGGAGGAAGCCACCACCAGCGAACATAGAAATACAAAAACATCCCAGTTTTGATGATCACTAATGGTCCCGCCTGCAGTCCTTCCTCCTTTTAGCACTTCTTACTTGTGCCTGTGGCACCTCACAGAGACTCATGACAACACAACCTCCTAGAAACATTATATACGGCTAGCGAATGCCAAACAAAACAATATCATAACACCCCTGCAACATAGGAGAGGCCCTGCAACACAGTGAGGCTTGAATGGGAATGGGGGAATGGAAGTCACCTTTTTTTTTTTTTTTTGCTGATTAAAATGTTACTACTACTGCCAGTTGTATTGTTTTAATAAGCTTTCTGTATGATATCCAGTTTCACAATTTTGAGTTGGTCGAATATCCCTGCTTTTGGTGATAAGAGAGAAACTGACAATTGTAAGAACTGAAGGTGGTTAATAAGGGTAAATCAGTAAGTTAGAATTGAGATCTGTGTCTCTCCTTTTGTTACAGGCAAGAATGTTTATCAAATCATTACCCCACATGCAGAAGAAAGATTTCAAGCAAGTGTTTGTGGGAGCAAACCCTCTTGGTATGTATGTGTTACCTGTTTCATGGTGTTATAAAATACCATAGCATTTGGAATCTTCCTTCTTTTGTAGGCCTTTACTCATTATCCAGTTATTATCGATATGCCAGGCTGACAACTCTGTAGGTGGACCTTCTCACCTTTTGTAGATGCTGCATAAATCCTTTTCCACACCTTTTTTGGACATATATAGACCAGTTGGCACTTGGTGGGTGATTTGGTCAGCATCATGCTGAATAAAGTTAATTACCACACTTTATTTTCACATTTCTTAACTAGAGACCGAAAAGAAACAATAAATTGCAGAACAGTAGCTTACATTGACTTGGCAAAAATGGGCAAACCATAATCTTCACTCTTCTTCTTCTTCCTAGAGTTTACCGGCTGTAAACTTTGGTGAACAATTTTGGTAGTTTATCCACTTCTGGACTTTGGGCTTGTTCCAGATCCTAGGTTTTTGCATCCAAATCCATGTTATAGCTGTGGCTTACTTGTATGCAGACCGCTACGGCAGGTGCACTCCAACTTCAAATAAAAAACAATTTAATTAATCACCTTTTATGGCAATCTTATTAAGGGGGCAGTGGGTCCATTCTTGTCCCCCCTCACCCCCTAAAATGGGACTTTGAAACCCACACGATGGGGTTTGGGAGGTGGGGTGGTGATTGATGTCTTAACTCAGAACTGAAGATTGTTAACTCTAAACACATCATCAATGCAAGGGTCTCAGCTTTGCTTCATGCCGATGTCAGGAATGCAAATGTGGATAACAAAAGCAAAATCCAGAGTGTGTCCTAATGTTTATCTACATTTTACCAGAGAAAAAGAGATGGAGAGAGAGAGAGAGAGAGGAGAGAAAAATCTGGGACACTGGTAAAGTCATGAAGCTTTCCTATTTGTGACCTATGCATGAGTAGCTGCATAGCAAGTTTCTGCTGAGGAAGAAAACTAGATGTGTGTGCTTGCTATAGTCAGCAATGAGGTTACAGTTTAAACAAACCAATAGTTTCTCTCTCTAACTTAAATTCTAAAATAAAATCTTGCAGCATATAACAGCATTGGACTAATTCCAGTTTTGCCTCCAAAAACTTAAATTTTACTTCTGTACTTGACAGCTGCTTTTTTTAAATTACCTGTTTTTCCTTTTAATTAAATGCTGCATATAACAGAAATTAAGGAATTATGGGATTTTTTAAATTTCACATGTATGGATTTATACACACTGACATACCTGAGCACACATTGTGTGTTGTTTGGGACACAAAGAGACCCAGCCCTTACTAACCCGAGTAGATCAGTCACAGTTACGATGGTTTGGACATGTATGCAGAATGGGAGAAAATCGGCCACCATGGCAAGCATGGGAGGCTAAGAACCAGGGAACCAGACCTCCAGGGCGACCTAGGGTCCGCTGGGAAGACAACATCAGACAGTCCCTAACTGACAGAGGACTGGAATGGAACAAAGCCAGAAAGAAAACTGCTGATAGAGACGTCTGGCGATCTCTCTGGCAAACCTCTACACCCCAAGGTTTGAATGTGGAGCGACTAAGTAAAGTAAAGAGATGGAAACAAATTACATTCGGTTTCATATGCTTAGATCAGACCATCAGGTGGGTTGCCTCTGTGAACATATCAGTAACAGGTCCTTCATGGTTTCCCATAGCTTGCTCTGTACACTTTGCTCTTGAGGCTAGGTGTCTTTACAAAGTTGTATGTAGAGTAGGCAGGTCTGCAGAATGTGCTCAGGTGTTTGTGGTCCTATTTGATAGGCACACTTATTATCAAATGAGGTCAGGCCTTCATGTTAGTTCTGTGGCACTACTTTAGAGAACAAAAAAGAAGCATAGACTCTCTGATCCTAAACATGAGTGGTAAAAGGCAAGTTAAGGGTTTGCTGAAATCAGTTGTATTGTGTCGAAAGTTGATGATATCACAGCCTAGCTGTAGACCACTACATAATAAATGCAGAAACAGTAGAACTCATATGTGGGATTCAAGAAAAAAGAGTCATTCACATTTTGCTCAAGACTTAAAATAGTTCAGTTTTTATAACATGAAGCTTATAGGTACAATCTGAGGAATGTAACTATTTTAATATAGAGGTTACCATTATCTTCTGTTTTAGGTAGTTATTACAATATAAAGGTTACCGTTATCTTCTGTTTTAGGTAGTTATAACAATATAAAGATTACCGTTATCTTCTGTAGTCTGTAATTATTATAATTTAAAGGTTACAGTTATTTTCTGTGGTGTTTAATTATTATAAAATAATGGTTACAGTTGTCCGGTGGTGTATAATTATAATATGACACTTAATGGTTATTGTCTGTGGTATGTAATTATTATAATATAAAATTACTGTTATCTTCTGTGGTATGTCTCTCACACAGCTATTGACCTTCTGGAGAAAATGTTGGATCTGAACACGAACACAAGACTGGATGCAACCCAAGCATTGGCCCATGAGTACCTGAAGCAGTATGCAGACCCCAATGATGAACCCACAGCCGAGAAATATGATCAGTCGTTTGAGGATATGGATCTGTCTATCAATGAATGGAAAAGTATGTCTAGTGTGTGAGTGCATATATGTGTGTGTGTGTCTGTGTGTGTGTGCATGCGTGTGTGCATGCGTCATTGTGAGTGAGTGAGTGTGTTTAGAAAATATTGTGTGAAGATTATGTTGTAGAAGTATTGTGTGTATATAGAAATATTGTGTGTAAATGAGTATTGTATAAGTATTGTGCATATATGAGTACTGTTGAAAATATAGTGTGTATATGGGTGTTGTAGAACTATTGTGTGTTGTAGAAATATTGTATCTATCTGAGTGTTGTAGAAGTATTGTAAGTATCTGAGTGTTGTAGAAGTATTGTATGTATCTGAGTGTTGTAGAAGTATTGTAAGTATCTGAGTGTTGTAGAAGTATTGTAAGTATCTGAGTGTTGTAGAAGTATTGTATGTATCTGAGTGTTGTAGAAGTATTGAATGTATCTGAGTGTTGTAGAGGTATTGTGAGTATCTGAGTGTTGTAGAAGTATTTTATGTATCTGAGTGTTGTAGAAGTATTGTATGTATCTGAGCGTTGTAGAAGCATTGTATGTGTTGGTGTTTTATAGAAGTATTGTATGTATCTGTGTGTTGTAGAAGTATTGTGTGCGTGTGTTGTAGAAGTATTGTATGTATTGGTGTGTTGTAGAAGTATTGTATGTATCTGAGTTTGTAGAAGTATTGTATGTATCTGAGTGTTGTAGAAGTACTGTATGTATCTGAGTGTTGTAGAAGTATTGTATGTATCTGAGTGTTGTAGAAGTATTGTGTGTATGGGTGTGACGCAGAAGTATTGGGTGTGTTGTAGGAGTATTGGACAGCTCTAAGAGCCATTCATCGTTTTAAAGGAGTAAAGCAAGGATGTGTGCTTGCACCAACACTGTTCAGCATCATATTCTCCGCTATACTGATTGATGCCTTCAGAGATGGGGATGTTGGTATTGATGTCAAGTATTGCGCTGATGACTGTCTATTTTATCTCAGGAGGCTAAGTGCTTAAACCAAGATAAAGTCAGACACCATTCCAGAATTGCTCTTCGCTGATGACTTTGCTATCCGTGCCAGCTCAGAGCCTGAACTACAATTTAGTGTAACCAAATTATCTGAAACCTGTACAAACTTTGTGCTTTTCATAAGCCGTGACAATATTGAAATACTGTTCCAGCCAGCCCCAGGAACAAGTCTACCTGAAACAAACGTCACAGTCAAGGGTAGAGCACTAAAGACCTTGTTTAGGTTTACATATCTTGGCAGCTTACTGGCTCAGAAAGTTAACATCGATCTAGAGATCAGTGCAAGGATATCCAAAGCCAGCAGTAGTACATTTGGTAGACTGCGACAAAAGTCTGGAATAGAGCTGGCATCAGCCTTCAGTCGAAGCTCAAAGTGTACAAAGCTGTCGCACTTCCTGTACTTTTCAATGCATGTGAAACATGGACCATTTACAGCACCATGCTAAGAAACTTAACCATTTTCACCCAGTATGTCTCAGAAAGTTGCTAAACTTAAAATGGCAAGAAAGGATCCCTTACACTGCAGTCCTTAACAGAGCTGGACTGCCCAGTGCTTACTCGATTCTAAAACAATCACAGCTTGCTGGTCCGCACGCCTGACCACCGACTGTCAAAAAAGGAAAACGCTGTCAAGGTGGACAGAAGAAATGTTTCATAGACAACCGCAAGACCTCAATGAAAGCATTCTGTATTGATCATAAAACCTTAAACTACTTTTGCTGGTGATCCTCTCTGTGATCCTCTCTTCATTGAGGGGCTGTGACCCATGGAGCTGCTAGAAGTGCAGCAGCAGTTCTGAAAATGCAAGCCAGGAAAGACACTGAAGCAAATCACCAGAGAGATGCTGCCTCAGTTTACCTGGGGGGGGGAAGCTGTCTGGTCTCAAGGCATGGCGTCTGCCTCGAGTTCTGGAGGTCCCGAGTTCAAGCCCCGGTGAAGGCTGGTCTTTTTTCTCGTAAACTTCTAATAATTTCCACTGGTCTCTGTGTATTAAGATCTGACACCCGTGTGTATTGTTGAGCACGTTAAAAAAAATCCCTTGGCAGTTGGAAATCAAAAAGAGTAGCTTAATGGGGCTGCCAGGGCAAAATTTGGAGTTTAAAAAAATGTGAATCTACCCACAGTACTTCAGGATCCTCGCCAGTGCTACAGAGTTTGTACGCTGCGCTGAGATTTTTCGGACTCAGGCTGGAGTCAGAAGTAGAACAGAGCACTTATAGATTACTACCCTTTGCTATGATGTTGATCGGTTGTCTAACCCTAAACTTAAACAGAGCAGATCAGTCTTCTTGTTCCACCTCCATCCTTGTGGCTGAGCCATCTTGTGTGATTTTCTCTTAACCTTTGCTTTGCTTTTGCTTCTTGAGTCCATTCCTTCCCATAACAACACCCAGCTTCCCCACCCAAAAAAAGAACCCACTGACTGTCAACATCTTATTTTTCTAATCAATATGGCACATAAGTGACACAAATGCTACTTTTGTTTTCAGAACTTGTCTGGGATGAATTGGAGAACTTTCGCCCTACACACAATTTGTCTTAGCAGAAATAGCCATCTGCCAGATTTCTAGACTAGTCTAACCAGCCTTTGTAACCTTGGCAGTGAACGTATGCCAGTTTGTACATGGCCTTGTTTCTACACCGTGTACTACCTGCGTACAGCTAAATGAAATCATCATTTGTGTGGACTCTCTGTAACATTTTGTTTCTCTTGTTTTTTTTTGGTTTTTTTGTTCTGTTTATATTTGAGTTTAATCTTTTTACCCTGGAGATGCTTTAAAATAAAAGGCACAAACCCATGAGAATTTCCAAAAAGTTGTTTTAAAAAAAACCCAGTTTACACAGGTCACTAAAATTTTTTTTGTTAAATGTATTTTTGTACGTGTTTTAATTTTAAAAATAATTAAATATATAATGACATTTAAAGGAAGTAATAAATAAAATAGTGAAGCGTTAAATTGAATACATTCACCAGGGCCTAAAAATATATCTGTATCTGGTTACTCATGCTGTTACCCCGTGACCTCTGACTGTGAGACTGGGAGAATTTTTGACATTAAATTCGCTTTAAAAAAGACATTTGGTTCACAAGAATTCCCCCCCCCCCCCCCACCCCCCCCCCCCCACCTCAATGCTGTTTTAGTAAATCTATTCATGATGCACAGGCGTAAACAGTGCCAGTGGCATTTGGCAGCTTTTTTGGAGTGGGTCATTGGAAACAGTCCTTATACCAGTTACTTCTAATTTAAAACACCGTCAGTATGATAACGAAATTAAGTAAAATCCCTTACAGAAGAAAAAAAAAATCAAGACAAAGACAAAATCTCCCCCTCCCCAAAGCTAAACTTGGATATTAACCAGAAGGCTCGTTTATGGTAAGTGTAACTTTCGAGGTACCAAAGAAGACAACATCATGCACTGATTTGTATGTGCTGTAACTGTCTGCTAGTACCAAAAGAGTGACCATTCATTGTTGTTCACCACTTCATTGTGTGTATTTGTAATGTATTTATAAGTTGTATAATTGTGTGAATACTTTTTTCAGATTAGCTATTAGAGCACGCATGTTCAAGCATGAGGTGGATATTTCATACTGATTTGTAAATTTACCTGACTTTAGTACTGATTTGTTATTTCATTTAGACATAATATATCATATTCTTTGAAAACTTACTAATTTTTGTTGGACTGAGTGATTCTGATAAATTGAGGAAATAGGGATATCCAAAAGAAACAATGAGAGGAACGTTGATGAGGGAGGCCAAGGATGCTGGACTGGATTCTATCCATGATATTAAAACTATTGCACAGGATAGAAAGGAACTAAAGAATACCCTGTGAGCCTTATGTGGCACATTATGATTATGATAATATGTGTTTATAAAGGGACATATTTAAATAATTCTTTTTATGGCATGCAACTGTCACTAAACAGACTCTGAAATGGGAAAGAAATGAACTGGGGAAATGAGGACATTTAAGAGAAACCCTGAGATGAATGTTGTTGAGAGAGACCAAAGGTGCTGGGCTGGAATGGAGGATAAGACTGAGCCCTACAGTATACTTTTCTTACTTGCCTCTGCCAAAGACTGTTACATTAACTCATTATATTTAAGTTGTAGGTTTAGCCTATTTTGTTTCATAGCATCGTAATTTGATTTTTTTTTAGGGGGCGGGGAGGGGGAACTAATATTATTATTTGCTGTCTTTTGGACTGAAATATTATATGCTTAAAACAAAGATTTCACAAAGAAGAGCAGGAAAGGAAAGACTAGCTGTTAGTGAAAGAGTTGGCAGCTCTGGCCATGCAGTGGTTAGAGGCTTGCCTGCTTTCCCGAGAATAGTGTGGAGACACAAACAGGTCACCACGCTGAGGAGAATAATGCTGCTATAGGTGACCAGGGGATCTGGTCGAAGCTCAGGAAAAAGGCCAGACAGATATAGACTGTTACTGGCGCTATCGGAATAATATCTTTCTGCTTGCTGCTGAAAATGGGACTAGACCCCTTATGGAAATGTATTGTGTGCTGTGGTGTTAATGATTTTTAGTTCACAATTCAACATTGGTATCATAGAAGCAGAAGAAAGAAGTAGAGATACGTAGGACATACTGGACATCATAAACATTCAACATTATAGTTGGAAGATAAAACATGAAAGTAAATACATCTAAAACTGAAATAATGCTGGTCAGTAGAGTTCCTGGCTCACTACATATAGGGTTGAATGGTACTTGTCTGCAGACATTTAAACACCTCTAAAGTATATTCTCAGAGGGTAAGAGAAAAGATTGTGAAATAGAAACAAGATGCCAAAGAGTCATATACCAACTGACATCGTTATTAAGACATCCAAACATAAGTATGAGCACCAAGAAATGGATTATAAACGGCTTATTCACACTAATACTGTGCTAGCAGTGATAGACTTGGACATTATCTGAGGCTACCTGTGTAAAATTAATACCTGTGAAACGATATATCTGAGAAAAGCTGCCAACTAAACCATCCAAGACAAAGATAGAAATGATGTTTTCAGACAGACTATAGGAACAGCACCATTCAGCAAATTGGTTGAGAAAAAGATGATCAGATGGTTTGGTCTTCTAGTAGAGATGCAATCAGATAACTTTCAATGCCGGCCCTACATATGAAGAGGTCTAGCATGAGGTCACCCTAAGAGAATATAAATTGATGACATTAAAGAGCTGCTATATGGACCAGAATGACAGTGGCCATTGCTGCCCATCTAGCAGTGGATCGTAAACTGATCATCCCCATAATGCTTAACGGCAGAAGTGGAAATTTGATGATAATGATGATAATAATGAGTTAAATTCTTGAATTGGCATCTGTCACCTCCTAATGATAACAGTAGCTTTCTGCAGAAACAAATGTCCAACCAGACACCCCTCTGCTCCTGTAAGCGCTGATTATTATTTGTTATGATTGTTTAACTTTTTTCAGTAGCACGAAACACACCATATGCATATTGTTACTTTATACATCGCATACATTCCCGAGTTTCTTCTGCTCCAATTCTTCTGTTAGGATAATTCATCCTGTCAAAACTGTCTCTTTACACTGTCTGTGAAATATATTTATTATTTGACCTCAGTCAGACACAAAAATTGTACCTCAGAAAAACTTACTTACTTACTTAGTCCATCCTCTTCTATCTTGGGGTGTAGAGGTTTGCTAGAGAGATCGTTAGACTTCTCTGTCAGCAGTTTTTCTTTTGGCTTCATTCTATTCCAGCCCTTTGTTGGTCAGGGATTGTCAGATGTTGTCTTTCCCAGCGAACCCTGGGTCGCCCTGGTGGTCTGGTTTCCATGTTCTTCTCCCCCCATGCCTGCCATGGTGGCAGATTCTCTCCCATAAATGTCCAGATCATTATAACCTCAAAAGTTCATATATTTAACAAATGAAATGTTCAGGTAACAAGTGCCTGTAATTAAAAAAGTTAAAAAGCATTAAAGATTCCATAATGATTGATACTTTCAAAGAGGTTAAATCACCATTTGTCAGCTATTAATCACTTTAAACAACTGTTTAAAGGCACAACATGCAATGGTGCAGTCATGTAATAAGATCTTCCTACTTGTCTCCTTTTTCCAAACCAACACCACAATGCTCACTACCAAAGAAAAGACATGGCGGGTCAAGAAAAGACCTAGATCAAAAATTAGCTGACTAAAAAAATGTCAGTGCCGTCTCCACAGTGATGGTTGGTTACATTGTACCACTGTTGAATTGGGAGGGCTAACCCAGCCAGCAAATGCCTGCAGATGTCGGATGTGTTGGCCGAAAGGTACAAATATCGCAGCCCTGCTGTAAACAGGCGCAACGCAGTTGCATATTTGGATGAACGTAGAAGAAGAAGGACCACTGTTATCTTTAGGAATATTATGTGATGAGGCCTCAAGCTCTCTTCCATGGCCTGACTCTCGTACCGCTGTCTGAAAACCATGAGAAGGGAAAGACAAATTTAGCTAACTAGATATGCGCCACAAATGAAAATATGAACTCATGTTCGTCTATCCTGCAATAAAGCCAATCAAGTTTTAGGCCAAATGGCACAAATTTTAAAATACAAGCATGTGAATATGAACACTAAAAGAACACTGTTCAACACAGTATGCTTACCAACGCTTTGCTATCAGTGTCGAACATGGACACTGTTTTCAGAAGACAGAAGAAAAATAGTCATGACAGAAATAAAATGTTAACATACTGTTCTACGTCTAACAAGGAAAGATTGATTTAAGAACGATGATATCAGGAGGAGAGTCGACACACAACCAATACCCAACTTTATTGGTAGACAACAAATCGAATAGTTTGGACACGTAAAGTGATTGGCATCAGACAGGGCACCACAGAGGGCAGTGTTATACAGATACAACAGTAACAGATCCAGAGGTGGACCACGCAGAACATGGATCACAGAAGTATCAGAGACACTGAAAAGTACTATATATGGAGCGAACAAAAGGCCCGTCCAGAGATCTCTTCCTGCCCTGACGCATGAGGCATTCCAGGACTAGAGAAAATGAAAAAAACCTGACCAAGCTGTCAACTGTAACTCTGTGACCAGTGTCATTTAGTGTAACAAGACATTAGAATAGTAATTAACAATGAAATCAGCTATTATGGAAACTAGATACCTCAAACTAAGTTCTGGCCAGATGTTAAAATAGTGACAGGACACACTTTACAACAGCCATGTTTTACTTTGAATAGCAAGTCACATATTTCTTGAGACTTGAACATAGAAATGAAATATGTCACCAAAGATCCCTTTTTCACATCATTATTGCATCAAGCATATGGTGATAGGCACATTTCAAAAAAAAAAAAAATTTACCGGCACCCGAAAAGAGTCAATTTTCAGAATGCCTGACTTCTGTGACAGACTACTCGGTGTGCGTGACCTGTTTGTAAACAGCTTGTCACATAAGTTACGGTGCTTTGAAAATTCCTACTGCACTCAAACGCTTGCAGAACTGGCAGGCATGCAACACAACACTGCTGCTCATCGGCA